CGAAGCTCGGGATATGGCTCGATTGGCGACACACATAGAAGGTGAGGTACAAATACAATATTTCTAATAATTTTTTGTTTATCTTAATTTACATTATTAGTTAATGTATTTGTTCTTTTTTCTTTTTCAGAAATTTTTCTTTCTATAGCAAAGGTCAACGAGGTCCTCCATTGCCTTCTCAACCTCCATCTTCTTCATTGTAAGATCTCTACAAAATAATTTCATTTTTTTTTCAGATTATATATATGATAAATATATTTAGTTCTGAAACTTTATTTTTATACTAATTACGCAGGAGATGGATATTAGGAACAATGCTAGCAATTACTTTACCCTTCGCCGGCAACAAAGGGGGACCGCTACTCGAATTTAAACGTAAATTTACGACTACGGTTCGCCGTATAATAATTTGACAGTTTGCCAAATCGAAATTCAAATTAATTCAATTATCATTTGCTATAAAAATTACGATTTTTTTTTGGTTGGTCTCGACGGATTTTATAGGGGACGTTGATTCAGTGGTCGAGACAGTAGAAGAAGTAGTCGAAATAGTCGAGAAAGTGGCAGAGATGGTGGACAAGGTGGCGGAGAACGTGTCGGAAGGGCTGCCGGCGGCCGGAAAATTGAAGAAAGTGGTGGACATTGTGGAGCATGTGGCTGAAAAAACAGCCAAAGATGCTCAAATTATTGGAAATGCTATTGACAAGGTAGTATCAATTAAATTTTAAATCATATGTCTTAGTTAATATTTTTTATGGTTGCATGAGTAAAATGTATGATGTTCTTAGAAATTGATTTAGACTTGGTCTTTGTTAGACTTGATTAATTAATGGATTAATTAGAAGATGATCTAGTCAAGTAATATATATCCATGCATTTAGCCAATGTATATGAAAATTGATTTGGTCAAGTAATTGACTTTTCAGAATTAAAATATGCAAAAGTGAAATTAAATGAAGACACTAATTAAATGTACATTAGGAATATGATTAATTAATTATCACAGATTTTTATGTAAATTCTTATTTATATTATCACAATTCACAAGTCATATAATTTGTGTTTATAATGTTTTGTAAAGTACTAATTCATTATTAATGAACATTAAATGAGGCAAAAAAAAAAAAAAAAAAAAAAAAACTTGGAAAATAGATTTTTTTGTGTGTGTAAATATATAAGTTGATAAACTAGTGTTAATTAGCACGTTTATTTCATTTTGTTTTAGTTTCAAGAAGTGGAGGAAAAGGTGGAAAACGTGGTTGAAACTCTCGGTGATCAAGCCAATGCACAACCCAAAAAGGCAAAAGGCTGAAAAAAAAAATAAAAATTATATGTGAATAAATAAACATTAACATATTTTATTTGTAGTTTTGTGTAAATAAATAAGTAGAGAAAAAATGTATACCACAATTATATATACCCCTGTAGTAGTGAAATTATTTGTTTCTTTGTATTAATTTCTATATTTGGTCTAATATATCTAAATAGTGTCGTCTTTTCTCATTCTCCTCTTGGAAGCTTTTAGTGTCGTCGTGTTTTTGTGTTTCTAGAGTATTGTCCTGTTGTCGGTTCTAGGCGGTCTTTTGACATGTTCTCCCAGTTTATTCAACTGTTGGTTGTCTTTATTCAGCTGGTGACTGTTTGTATTCAGCTAGTGGATGTACAATTTTGCACATGTATACGCTTTTATATAATATTTCTATCGTTTCGGAAAAAAACAAATATGTAAATAGTGGGCTTTGAGTTTAGCCCATTGCATAAGGACAAATGTGAAATTTCAATGTTGTACTTGACAAAAATGTGATGAAGGAAACTATATAAATGAAAAAAAAAACAATAATATATAAATTGTGGAATTTATTTATTCATCTTAAATGTAGATGACACTTATTACATGAGAATTAAGTGCTTATCTACCAATCATATGAAATTTTTCGTTACTTCTCCAAAGTAGAATTTTGGAGAAATAATACTTTGAAATTCCATTTTAAAATAACTACAAAATACCAAATATTAAATAAACTTCCGCGCCCATAAATTCACTTATATTATTTAAATGTTGTCGAACAAGCTCGACTCTTGGTTTAATATCACGACTATGTCGTGTGATATGGCTTTTGCATCATTTGAAATCCCAATGAGACCCATCATTCCAAATCCCGCGCAGTAAAGTCCGTTTTCTCCTTTTCGAAGTTTTGATTTTTCCACTTTAGGGATTCCATTTTCCCCAAAGAGTGCACCATCGTCCTGAACATAAATGGAAAATTATCATTCGATTAAATAATCAAAATTTTGAAAAAAAAAAATAAAAGTAGAAGTAGTTTTTATTTAAAAGATTTGACTCAGTAAATTATTTCGAAACACCATATGCAAATAAGATTCAAAAATTCCGATGAGTTTCACCTTAAGCCATTCACGAACCGCGCTTTTGTATCCGGTGGCGAAAACAATGGCGTCAAAACGCTTCGTGTCGCCGTTCGCAAAGCGAACATAATCTCCATCCACCTTCTCAATACTCGGAAGAACCTAGGCCATTCGTATAAGGCAACTAAAAACAAATGTACACAAGTACATACGGATACACATTCACTATTGATCAAATAAATGCTCCCCAAAAGTGAACAATTTACAATTTTTTAATAAATGCCAATAGTTTTTCATGAGAATAAAAATTAATTACCTTAATTTTTTGTTCTTGAATTTTCCCAATTGTCCCGACATCAATAACGGGCGACCGGCCAGTTGCCACTTTTAGATAAAACGGTCCTTTGCTAGGCCTTTGGATGCCATAATTATTAAGATCACCATATTTAATTTTGCTCAACATTAGCACAATTTTATCCACAACATCTATAGATAGAAATTTCAACATTTCCATCCCTAGCTTCACCATCCAATTGGCCAAATAGTGCACCTGAAATAGTTCAATTTTACCATAGTCTAAGTCCATATAGTTTCAATTTCAACAATTGTTATACACTTAGGCCTGTAATCGAGCCGAGCCGAGCTCGGATCATTGAACGAGCCAAAAATCGAGCTCGAGCTTGGCTCGTTTATCACAAATAACAAGTCGATCTCGAGTTTTAACGAGTCGAACTACAAGAAATTATATAAAATTTTTTTTTTCGAGCCTTATTGAGTCAAGCCAAGTCGTGCCGTGCTAGACTTGTTTAATTTAACAGTAATATATACTAAATCGAGTACTATCAAAATGTCTAGCACTTACCGGACTGCGAACGACTATAGAAACACGAGAACCGCAATTGGATAGATCGAAAGCTATTTCCATACCGGAATTTCCACTCCCGACGACCAAAACATCCTTGCCACAAAACCTATTCCCGTTATCATAGAAACTCGCGTGCATTGTCTCACCATTAAACGAGCCCAGACCCGAAACCGGTGGTATATAGCCTTCATTGTTTTCGCCAGTCGCCACGACTAGAAACTTGGCCGAGTAGCTCTCAGTCGTGCCCGATTGGGTATTTTCGGCCACGACAAGCCAATTCCGGTCGCCAAACGAGGCACACGACACGCGACGATGGTATAATGGTGTGACATTGAAATGGGAAGCATATTCATCTAAGTATTGAATGAAATCATGCTTTGGTAAATATGTGGGTGCACTTGAGGGGAAGGGCATGTTTGGCAACTCACAAAATTGCTTGGATATATGAAGTTTCAATCTATCATAGGCCTTCTTTTTCCAAAGGGAGGCACAACAATCTTCCTTTTCTAAGACAATATTTGGTATGTTTTGTAAGTTTAGACATGCTGAGGTTGCTAGACCAGCAGGCCCTGCACCAACAATTAGGACTATAGTTTCTTGCACAATTTGTGCCTCCATATTTTTCTTTTTCTTTTTCTTTTTTTTTTTAAAAAAAAAGAATGCTCTAAAATCCTATTTATAGGTGGAAAAATTTTGAATTAGATTTTGTGGGGCAATTTTTTTTTTGAATGGTAATTGGTATGTGACATTATTATAATTATGAAATATAGTAAAGGATTATATTTATGATTATGAAATATAGTAAAGGATTGCTATATCTAATTATTGTGTTCTGATCTTTTTGCCTATGTGAGATTCTGATAATTGATAATTGTTTGAGCATCACTTATGAAGTCGTCTCACATTGATTCTATAGGAAAAATGAGCCAAGTGGACTATTCCTTTTATCACCAATTGATTTTGGGATGGAACATCGTTAATGTGCATCTAGTCTCACCCTCTTATGGTGCGCTTTACATAGTAGGACTACACTCTCGTCCCCCGCTAATAATAATCTTATTCATTGAGATAATTCTGACTTTAAACTGTATTTAAAATATATATAGTGAATTGGAACATGTATACAATCATAATTGTGTTACATTTATATTAAAGAAAGTAGAATGATAGTACATGATTATCCAAAGATTAATTATCAGGTGATCAGCATATTGTGGAGATTTTGAGAATGCAAAATCTGATCAAATGGTTGGGATGGGCCCGAATTGAATTTATACCAATTTTGGTTTTTATTTCCAAAAAAAAGCATTATATATTTATATTAAATGCCTTTTTCAGTCTTTTTTTTTTATTCTCAAATTTGGTTGGATTTGAATTGATATGCTTTAATTTTTTATTTGAAAAAAAAAAAATCTCTTTAGTGAAAAAATATTTGGTGAAAAGAATGAATTATTTTTAAACTTTGAATTGATGTGAGATGAAAAGGTGATAATAAAAGCTTCTTTGATAGGAAAATTATAGTTTTGATTGTTGGTCCAAATTGTGAGCAAATAAAATTGTTAAGTTTAATTTATAAAATATGTGTAGTAATGACGATATTTTTTGTTTAAATTATACTAGTACAACGCCCGTGTATTACACGGGTGCTTGTTAATTTTTCTTAAACTCTAAAATTAATGAGGAAGAGTAGTTGAAAATTTAAATACCTTTTATAAAAATATATATATTATTATATATTTAGTATGATTTTTGCGACTTACATGCGTCATATTATAATAATTTTTTAACTTACAACATATAACTACACCAAACATAAATATATCAATTAAGAAATAATTTTATTTTTCTAATGAATTTTAATAAATATTGTTATTTTTATTATAATAAAGATTAATATAATTTATTTATTTCATATATACAATATGGATGTCAAATAAAAATCATCAAAAGATGATTAAGTTGATATATTATATATATAAAATCGATAAGAAAATACAAAAATTATCAACTTTTAAAATACATTTACAATTCAATAGCCAATTGAAAGAAACAAATCAAAAGTCAGTGATATATTAGTCACTTAGTGTCTCACTATGTAAAATTACAAAAAGTTAAATGGTTATATTAGTACAAGTAATATTAAAATACCTAAGTTAGCTAAATAATATTTATGGAATGTCCGAACCTAGATTGTTAATTATTAATATATCATTATTATTTGTCCAAACCTAATTACGAATCATGATTTTCGCCAAGTAGGACTCCGAAGCACCAGAAGCAGCCACATAGACTCAGCCACATAGACTCAGCGCATTATAATTTTAATAATTTATCTATATATAAAAATGTTTGCTATTTACTTGAAATAGTATATATAATTTTTCTGTAGATTTTATTTTTCTTTTTTCCTTTTTAGCATTGTATATTTCGTGTTAGTCTAATAAAAGCATAAGAAAATGTTTTTTTTATAAGTATAATGATTATTGCAATATTACTCATATTCAATTATAAATAATTATTTAACAATATACATATATAATAATAATAATAATATAATTTATTTTAAAAAACTTTTTTGTTATAACATTATTTGTTTATGGTATTTAATAACTTATTAATACATACAACATAAATATCAAGTGTTATGCAAAATATCCATGCTATGTAGTAATTCATGTAGGTATCTCGTCGTCTTGTCAATTGCATAATCAATCAATTAATTTTTAAATAATTATATAATTAATTAGAATGCTTCTATGACTACACGTCTAATTATTTATGAATTTATATATTATTTTATTAATATTTCATTATTTTGTGAACAAAATGATATTGTATTACAATTTTTATTAGTGTACGTTAAACAAAGTTTTCATGATCGGTTTGTCATCGAACCAATTAAGTTATTTATTAAATAATTTTTGCGTTGAACCAAAGTTTAATATATTAATATTGTTATAGTACATTTCATAATAAACTTATATATCAATAAATACCTAATTAAATAATTTAAAATTTTAGAATATTTAAACTAATTGTTGAATACCTTATATTCTCCACATCATTTAAACACGTATTTTTTATTTATATTAAAAAATAAAATGCAGCAAAATTTATTTCAAGAAAATGAACCGGTCGACAAACCGTTCCCGGTTTAAATAAATTTATACTCTTACAAGATTATTTATCTTTACAAGAATATATATATTTAATCAAAAATCAATTCCACTATGTGATATTTTGTGTATATTTAATTTTGTCTTAGTGAAAATTTTAATGTGTATTTATATAAAAACATAGATATATATTTATCAGTAATGCTCATCTACCCACGGTGGGCACATGTGAATATGCCCACCACTTATGTGACAATCATACGTTGGTGATGTATTTTTTTAACATATTAAGTTATTAACATTATCAATGTGTGTATGCCCACCGTGAGTAGGTGAACATTATCCATATATTTATAATCCTCCCTATATATAATTGCAGAATGCGCTAAGCCTACTGCTTCTGGTGCTTCGTAATCCTACTTGGCGAATATTCATGCTTCATAATTAGGTTTAAACAAATAATATTGATATATTAATAAATAATAATTTAGGTTTGAACATTCCATAAATATTATTTAGCTAACTTAGGTATTTTAATATCAATTGTACGAATATAACCCTTTAATTCTTTGTATTTTACATAGTGAAACACTAAGTGATTAATGTATCCCTGACTTTTGATTTGTTTCCTTCAATTAGTTATTGAATTGTAAATGTACTTTAAAAGTTGATAATTTTTGTATTTTTTATCGGTTTTACATATATAATATATCAAATTAATCATGTTTTGATGATCTTCGATTTGACATCCATATTGTATATATGGAATAAATAAATTATATTTATCTTTATAATAATAAAAAATAATAATATTTATTAAAATTCATTAGAAAAATAAAATTATTTCTCAATTGATTTATTTATGTTTAATATAGTTATTTGTTGTAAGTTAAAAAAATTATTACAGTATAACACATGTAAGTCGCACAGATAAAAAGTGTCATACTAACTATATAATAATATATATATTTTTATAAAAGGTATTTAGATTTTCAACTATTTTTCTCATTAATTTTATATAGCATACACCCGTGTAATACACGGACGTTGTACTAGTACATAAATAAAAGTAAATATTCAATATATATATATATATATATATATATATAATTGCTAGCATATAGCATTTAATAAAACCTATTTAATAAAACCTCTAAAATTTTCCCTCCATTTTTTGTTACAAAATTTATCATTAATATTTTTTACTTCTCACAATAATACATTCTATTAAGTGTAATCAAGTATTTTTCTATTATATTATACAATAGTTATTGCTAATACCAACTAACAATAATTCACAATAAATATAAATTACATAATTATAAACAATTATTTCAAGTTATTTATATTAACATCAATAAAAAATTTCTTTAAAACCAATTAGTAAATTATTTTAATAACTTAGTCAAACAACTTTAGAAGCTTATAAACAATTGTTTTTTAATAATAATAGTCAAGCTGTTATTATCTAATGACAATAAACAATTGTTCATAATAAGAAAATCGTTAATTATTTTTTCTAATGATCAAAATTTTGAAATGTAATATGTTCATTATCTATAATTTTAATATTAAGTTCTCAATTATTACTTATAATATTTTATGTACATTTATGCATGTGTACAGAATATTTACTAATATTTCGTTAAAATGATAAACTAACGATCATATACCAAAATAACTATATAAATTATTAAATATTTTTATATAATGATATAGACTTAAATTCATATATTTAACATAAAGAGTCCCATGAGAAAATTAAACAAGCAATTAAAAAAAAAAGAAAAAAAAAAGCTTCATTTCAACATTTCACTACACTTAAACACCAAACAAGCTATATATAATGCTTCAACCCTATATACACACACAAAGTCCCTCAACTCACATTCCCTCCGAAAATCGACGTGCCAATCGGGACTTAGTGGGCCAGTCGAGGCATGGCTGCAGTCGCACGGTGGGCCTGGACTGCGCACGCGCAGTGGACCGACGTCAGGTTCAAGCAGCCGCTGATGATGAGCGAGTGGCGGCCGGGGCACGTGTGGAGTGCCGGAAACGAGTCGCACACCGCCTGCACAGCTGGCGGTGTCAGGGCCGTACATTGGCTGATGTTGAGATTTGTGAGGCCCTCCTCTTCATACCTGGCCCGGTTAACCGAGGCCCAAACCCGATGCTTGTTCTTCATCGGGCTGTGGGCCAGAGAGTACATGGCCCGGTCGGTTATGTTTTGACAGTAGTAGAGGCCGAGCGACCTCAAGTGGTGGCAGTTGTTTGCCAATGCAATCACGCTCTCGTCTGGAGAAAAATAAAAATAAAATAAAATAAAGGTCGAGTACCCACAAAAGCGCGAAAGTGCATTTTAGGTACTGTCGGTTTAACACCGTAGAAATTTTAATCCCAAAGTTCCAACATTTCACCTTTGAGTCCTGTAATTTAATATTTCGCTGCCTTTGGTCCTGTAATTTTGTAATTTAATATTTTTGCTGCAATTTAGTACTCAAAGACTGAAATTGCAACAAATTTCCAAATTCACTAATTTTTTATTAGCAATTTAAATCCATTTCAGTCCTCAAATGACTAAAATTGCAGCAAAATATTAAATCACTCGCGAAAATTTGGAACCTTGGGACTAAAATTGTTGTGGCGTCAAACCAATATGACTAAAAATGCACTTTTTGACCAATTGTTAAAGAGAAGAAAGATAAAATGCTTGGATGCAATTTAATTACAATCACAAAAAGGCTACTTTTATTGCACTTTCAAACATTGTTAGATCAAACTTACAAGATACCTGTAATAAGAACACAACCGCATAAGTCGAGAGCTCGAAGATCAGGGCAGCCATAGGCTAAGCTCTTAACACCTTCGTCTCCAACACGATCACACCACCCGAGATTCAACGACTGGAGCTTACCACAGTTGTACCCAATTGCCTGCATCAAACTAATTTTCTTCTTTTACTCGAACATAAAAAAGTGGGTTTTTTTTTTCTTTTTTAAATAATTCTTTCAAAAGTACCAAAAGCTTGCAGCTTTATGTACCTTCAATGCCCTATCAGTAGCTGCCCTCACACAGCTACAGAGATTCAAGAATTTTAAATTTCGACAGAAGCCCGTCAAATAACCCACGGCAGTATCAGTAAATGACGTACAACCGCTAATGTTGAGCTTAACGAGATCCTGGCAGCCACGTGCCAAGGCATACAAGGACCGATCAGTAAGCCGAAAGCTTTTACTGAGATCCAATTCTTGAAGGTCATGGCAGTGAGCCGCGATTATTTCAATTGCGTCATCTTGCAGTTGAGGTGTGTCTTGCCTCAGTATCAGAACACGAAGCTTCGTGAACTTTGGCACTAGCGAGAGGACCAGATTATTCATGTTTTTCTTGCACCTGAAAAGCGAACAAAATTCACTCGGTACTTGTAGGGATAAAGGCCAGATGTATTCACGAACAATATCATTGTGCATTAATTTTCGGCGAATAAATGTTCACGCACAAGATCTCGATGTAATAACAACCCTTTTCTACTTAAAGACTGCTCATCAAAACACCGGCAGAAGAATATGCAATTTCCATATCGGAACTCCATTTGACAAACAAACAAAAAATGCAACAAAGACATCAAATAGTTGTAAATAGTACCTTTAGCAAGAATAAAAACTAATCGGTCCCAGCAGCTCCTACTGTCAAACAGGAACAATCAATCATAATCAAACTCTTTTACTTTTATCATCTGACAGAAAGAACTTATCGGTTGGCCGATAAGTAAAACAGATGAACTTCAGAAAATAGACTAAAATAGCATCACAACTCACAAGAAAACACAATTTGGATCGATCGAAATCCACAAGTAGCCATTTATCTATATTCACCAGCAAACACGGAATCATTTCGAATTCTCTCTAAAGCAATAATAAATCATCGAATTTACCTCAATCCACAAACAGCAAAGCCACATATAAAACAAATAGCCTAGAATTTATAGTTTAATAGCTCAAGAACATTTGAACAACATCAAAGCAATCAAGAAACACTCATAAGAAGTATATGGATACCAAGAGAGAGAAAGATGAATAAGCCCCCAAGAAATGGCGTCCCTCCATCCATGGCAAACCCCAGATGCCACGACAACCGTCCGATCATCCACAAGTGCCAAAATCCTCAGCAGCAGCTCCACCGGAATATCTTTCCACTCGCTCATCCTCAGCCCTCCGATTTCGCCGCCGCCGCCGTTATCAGCTCGATTCAGAACCTCCGCACCACCAAACACCACCAGCTTCTCAAAGCTCGAGTCCAAACCCTCTGCTCTCCTCATATCTCACTCACTCCCCTCTTCAACCTTCAGAAAAGACCAGAAATTTGTGAGTTGTGACCCTGAAAATCTAAAATTGGGGTTTTAATAAGTCGAAATATAACAAATTCAACAACAAAATCTCGGTTATCAAAGCGAAAAAAGAAGGCGCTGAGGTTAGCAGAGAAGAAAAGGAAGATAAAAATCCAATCTTTATCTCGTTTTTTTGCCTTCAAAAGGGTATACTCTGCGCTTTGATCGTACAACAGTGGTCGCGTATTTATACAGACACCAAAGGATTTAAAGGGCAGCCATGGCTGAGTGGGGTGGGTAGAGAAAGGGATGAAGGCCAATGGTACCTTTGAAATTTTATATAAATCACGACTGAAATGCTGTGTGCTTTTTAATCTTTTGCAGAAAGTCGATATGAGCAGTCGCTTGAGAAAGAAAGAGAGGGGATTGGAGACGGAGGCAACGCCACGTGGCAGTTAACAGCACACGAATTTTTTTTTTTGGTTAAAAAAACTGAGGCTAG